ATGTTTTTTTCTTTCTTTCTTTCTTTCTTTTTGGTCTCATGGTAAAAATGATTCTGAATCATTGGATATTGACTCTGGGGGATATTATGACTATGTTTGCAAACATCAAAGAGGCCTTTATTTCAGCGTATTGATTTTCTCTTGTGGAGGTAGTAGGAATGAGATCTCTTGTGTTTTCTTGCAGTACTGAGGTCTCGCTCCCAGATCTGAAATGCCTCTAACCCAAGAGGGAGGCTGACGACCATGGGGTTGAGAGGCTCCCGGATGGTACGTGCAGAAGGTCACCACCTGAGGCAGCCAGTGCTGGCGGCGCCTGGTTGAATTAACTTGGAGCAGCCTCAACGGGAGGAAGAAAAAGGGTGAGTGGTTTTGCTAGCATATGGATGTGTGCATATATGTGCTTAGGTTGGGGACCACATGTGGGCTTCACAGTGCCATACCATTTAAGTGATGCCCAGTGTCACAAGACTGGATGCCTGTCCCTTCTGCTAGGGGTAGAGATGGGGGAGTGTGTGTGTGCGTGTGTGTGTGTGTGCGCGCGCGCGTGTGCGTGTGTGCGTGTGTGTGTGTGCCTGTGCGTGCGCATGGGTGAGGAAAGCAGTGTGTGAGGGGGAGGGAGTGTTGTGCTGCCTGCTGTTTGTGATAGCGGATGGCAATAAGAGCCCTCAACTAAGGGACAGGAGCCCAGCTTGGAGTCCGGCCCTGCCACCTACCACCACATGGTCGTGAGCACTCATAGCCTCTCTGAAGATCAATTTCCTCATTTTTAAAATGGGCATTAAGAGCTCTCTTACAGGATTGTTGTGAGGATGTGACGAGATGGAATATGAAAAGTGCCTGGCTTCTAAGAATGTGTTAACCCAGTGACCCCTGTTCCCTTCCTACATGCTGGACTGAACATGCACGGTTCTGAGCCCCGCCCATTGGTGCCAGTTTTAGTGGTTCACCCTCGTGTTCATCCACACATCACTTTGTGGCCCACATAAGTTTTGTCACTAGATAAGGTTACATATGGTTGGTGGCAAAGCCAAATTCTGGAAACTCTTCATCGCAGCCCCCAGCCTGCTCTCTCTCTCACTCTCCTATGCTTACTGATTCTTCTGGAACTCTCCCTGGAAATCAGTGAAAACCTTCCAAAAAAGTAGCTGAAAAAAACCAAAGACACACAGAACTTCCCAAGGCACAGTTTGGCTGGTCATCTCACCAACCGGAAGAAGAGAGTGCTCTCATCTGGTGGAGCAGCAATAGAATCAAGTCCCCACTGGCTGGATGAGGCCCAGAGTGCAGGGAGAAAGTGTGTGTGTGGGGAGAGGGACCGGCCTTGGTCCTACTCTCAGGAGGGCTGGGGAGTGAAACAAGCAAGGACCATGGAATCAGAGAGACCTGGGGTCAAACACTGCATTTGCAACTCACAAACGGAGTGACTTTGGGAAGATTTAACTTTCTTGAATCTCAATTTATTTATTGGGAAATTAATTGATCCCCACCCCTCACCCATCTCTGTCTGTCTCTCTGCCTCTCTCTTTGGGTTGTTGTGAGGATTAAATAATAAATGTGATCATTTGTGCAGCACATCCAGCTGTGGTGCCGGGGACACAGTAAGCCCCCCTCAGGCCACTTCCCTCCCTTCCACCCATTTACCTCATCTGACTGCTAGGAGGATTAATTAGATAAGATCTTGCTAAGCAGAATTTACTCAGTACAGATTCATTTCCCTCCCCTTCTTTCTTAAAAAAAACACAAAAAACTGGCTCCCAAACTGGTAAAAGTTCCTCCTGAGAGAATGAGGGTGGAAGTGGGCGATAAATTGCCTCGTTTCACTCGGTGACTGTTTCCCAATTCCCCTCTGCTTCGGCTGTACTCTCGCAGTGTTTATCCGAGCTCTGGCGGATGGACGGTTATAGAAAATAGATCCTTTGATGGTTTTGTCGAAATATCCTGGAGCCAGAGGAATGAGGGCCAAGTTAGTCATCCTTTGTGAAACTACAACTGGGAGGTGATGTTTATCTTGCCCAGCCAGACCCTGCACTAGAATATATGGTACAATTAAATGTCCTTGAAAAATATGGAGTGTGGGTTCTCTGTAACCAGGGTTGGGCAAGTTTGTTCTTTTACAAATCGATACGTATTCATCAAATGCTGGAGGTGGCCAATGAAACAGGCTTTGGGGGCCCAAGTCAGGGATGATCGTGGCCATGATGGGTGAAGGGTGTAATTATGGTGACTTAGATTAAAGGCTTCATGCCGGCAGCAGCCATAGAACTTTCTGCGGTGACGCAGATCTATTGCTGTGCTCTCCGATAGGGCAGCCACGTATGTGAGCACTTGAAAGGTAGCTAGTGTGACCGAGGAATCAAAGTTTTGAGTTTATTTAAAAGTAAATAGCTACATATGGTTAGTGGCTACCATATTGGATGACATAGCATCATACAGATTGCAGCATCCCATGAACAGCCGCTTCCAAACAGGTGAGTTTCACCTGAGTATGATTCCCAGCCACTCCCAGGGCAGCTTGGTGTGACCACAGGGCTGGTCCACCCCACCAACAAGCAGATTAGAACTTTGCTCACTGGAAGGACTGAGGCAGAACTGGGGAGAGCCCTGAGGCTCCGAGGAGGGGCGGGTGCAGTGCAGGCCACAGTACATCATTGGAACCTCTGTCGGGAGCTGGAGGTATGGGTCTGTCCAGTTTCAGGCAGTCCTGCCTCACAGTCCTGCCTCCATCTCACCGGCCCCATCCTTGTCTGATGTCCCTGGCGCAAGATGGGTAGTTGTAATAAAGAGACCCTAGTGTTGTCTCCAAGGGACACATGCCCTGTCTTCCTGGGACAGCACTGAGCACGTACTGCATGGCGGGGGGTTGGTCTCCACCGAGCCCCCTGAAGTAGGGAGTCCGCCTACCCTGGCTCAATTTAGTGCTTGACAAAGAAATGAATGGATGAGAACATTGGTTTTGGTGGCTGCTGGGTGAGTAATGCTGCCCTAATGTGATTCTTTGGTCTCCTTCATTGGAAAGGAGCTCACACCAGCAGGATGGGATGGTCGGGCTCCCAGGGTCCCTGGCAGAAGAGAGAAACTCAGCCTGGCTTGTGCCTACTGCTCTTTCTTTACCCTCTTCCTTCCCTTGACACTCGCTTCTCTCCCCCATCTCTAAGTCCCCAGTAGATATCCTGGGGCTGGACCAAACCCCTTGCTTCACAGGCATAGCCCAGTCCTGGAAGGAGAAAAATGATCTTTCTTCCAAGCTGATCTCAAGAAGAAAGCAAATCCCTCACTCCCTTTTCTCCTCCTGCCTTCATCCCCACAAACAGACTAAGGGCAGGTTACTGAGATTTAAAAAAAAAAAAATCACTCAATTACTTGTTTGGAGGTCTGGGTCTAAAGCTGCCTGCCAACATCCATTTTGTGACCTTGGACAAATGATTTCCCCGTCTGGGCCTCGGTTTTCCCATCTGTGAAACTGGCAGGGTTGAACAGTCTCTTGAAATGCTAACATTCCAGGATTAAAGTAGACCCAGTGAAATGTAATTATCTGAGAGGCTTAATCACTCCAGGTGGCTTTGCCATTTAAAAGAGGAGCTGGTTAACCCAAATTGAGTGAGTGCCTAATTGGCAGCCTGCAGTGGGGGAGCTCCCGTAAGCAGGAGGCCTTCCAAACACCCTCATCTGATCCCAGACACTACTGGCTCCTCCACCCTTCAAGCACAGAGAGCAGAGGGGGCCCTCTGACCCCTCAGGTGGGAAAGATCCCTCCCTCACTTGAAGTGCTCTCAGAGGTTGTCAGCTGCCCACAACAGATTTCTGTCATTCCTGGGTCACCATGAGGAAGGGAAATCTGGGTGGAGAGCAAAAGTTGAGATAAACAGAGGAATCCTGTGCCTAAAAAAATGAGTCATGTGGGAGACTGAACTAGGAAGTGTGATAATTAAAAGGAACACCGTGTTGGGAGTCAGGTGCACCTGTGTTCTAAGCCTCCCTCCAGGCTCTGGGCAGGTCACTCCACTGGAGTTTTGCTTCTCCTCTTCTTAAAATGGGATAGTAACCAGCCCTGCCAACCTTGCTTGGCTGTTGTGGGGACCACAGGGAATCCATGGCTGCATCTAATGTTTTGTATCAAATGCTGTCACATGCAAAGCGGTCGTGATGATGCATTCATCTTCTGCAGATACAAATATTTGCACAGTAATAATCAAACAGCCCAACACTGGGCTCCTCCCAGCACCAGCGAGCATGTGCTAGGAAACAGTAACACGCTAAATCACTCACCGCGCTCTTTTAAGGATTAGACAGAAATGTTAATGGCAACAGATGTCGCCTTGTTCCCTCCAGGAAGATTTAGGCTTCAGTGGAGTATTTCTTGCCTGGCTTCAGTCCAAGACGTGGCCACAGCCCTTTGTCTGACCTCCTGTTCAACCCAGAACGTGGCAGGGGCTTGATTTCTGCCTGAGGCAAAGGACCTGACTGGGAAACACTGGAAATTGAACTTCACCTTAGGAAGGCCTCAACAGGACAATGATATCCTGTAAGATTAGCAGAGTCAAACGTTTGAGGGAGTAAGGAGCTGCAAACGTATCCTGGAGCTGCAAACGTATCCTGGAGCTGTTTTATCATGGGGGGCATGAGCAGACGTGAAAGTACTGGGTTCTAGTTTGGAGACACCTCCAGGTCCCTGTAACAAAAAGACCTGGGTGGTTGACGTAACTGCTCAGGGCCTTCGGGATCATACATTATAGGGGACCGTGAAAATGGAGGAGAGGCCAACTCAAGGATTGTTCCAGAAAGTATTAAGGCTTCTCTTCTAGCTCTTGGCAGCCAGTTGGCCACATTCTTGGGAAAAGACAGGCTATTATCAACATCACTGTCTGGAATCTGTGCATTTTCAGAAACACTAAAATAGCAGGACCTGAAGTCACTCCAGGCAAAGCCTTCAGGGAACCCCTGAACCTTCAGACAGGCGGCTGCATCCTGGATTCCAAAGGCTGCAGGCCGCCCGCACTCACCTTTGAATGGGGACTGGGCTCGCGTCACCAGGAAGAGCTTCTTGCTCTTCTTGCTGTGCCACTCCTGGCGGATGTGGTAGCCCAGCGTGTTGCAGCGTCCCTTCTTGCAGCTCAGGCACAGGCCCTGGCTGAAGGTGTCCATGTCGCTGCACATGTAGCCCGTGTTCTGCAAGTCAGCCTGCTGCAAAGAGTCGATGAAGAGGTGCACCGACCGCTCGTGGGCGCATTTTATGGTCTGGGTGATGGCTGGAACACAGCGCAAGAGGGACGTTAGTTAGCACTCTTTAACACAAAGTACTTTCAACTCAGAGGGTTATCTTGCTTCTCAGGGCAGAGTGACAGCACATTAGAAAGGAGGGTGGGGTCGTTGAGGTCGACCCACAAACAACTGTACATGTAATAACTGACCAGAAACTACAGAAGGGGTAGACCCCTCTCAGCCACTTAGTGTCAGGCCTCAGCGTGTTACAGTAGGCATTTTAACAGCAACCCAAGGCCCTAAGAAAATGGCGAATTATTTAAGAAAGGAGGATAGTGTAATTCCTTTTAGAAATATTTCTCTCTCAAATGGTTAAGAAGGCACAAGTGCTCATGCCTTCGGGGTGAGTTAGCTGGAACAGGCTTGTGCGGAATGACTCTTAATAAAGCTAAGGAAATGAGGGCTGAGGCACTCAAGTGGTTCTACTAATGGTCTGGTGAGAGCTGAGGCCTCTCCCAGAATGTCTACCTTCTGTCCCAAAGCAGCCATTGTGTCCCTTGGGTAACCGACCTGTAAAACCAGCATGGGGATGATCTTTCAGAAGAATGCCCCAGTGACCAGGTCTGAATGGCCCTAACCCCTCCAGGAAGCTTAGGAGGTTTAGCTACCTTTAAAAAACAAACAATGACCCTCCTAATCTTAACTTAATCTTTAGTAAATGATTCTCAAAGAATGTTGAGGGGCCACCACAAGATACGTAAAGTACCTAAAGTGAAGGTAGAGCACAGGTAATTGTGCCCAAAGCTCTTTCCCAGGAGCAGTCATTTCAGGGCATGCTGAGCACCTCCTGTGAGGCAGGTACTCTGCTGAGTGCCTTCACTCATCCACTCCCTGCATCTTTTTTTTTTTAAGATTTATTGGGGAATTGGGGGAAGGGGAACAGACAAGTTGCTGTCGTTTTGTTCTTCAGTCTAGTTGTGGAGGACGTTGCTTCACTGGCCCAACTTGGCACCATCATTGTGCTCTTCCCGGGCGAGGCAGATCAGTTGCTGGCTTCTGGACAGCCGCTCACTGCGGCTGCTGGCCACTCACGCTGGCTGCTGGCTACACACGGTAGCCCATGGCAACCCACTGCAGCAAGGGCTGCAGCCTATGCTGTTGTCAGCGACTCACGGCAGCCCAGCTCCAGTTTGAGCTGTTGTTCAGCATCTTAGCTGTGGAGGGCAGTGTCACTGGTCCTTATATGTGGGCATCCCAAGCCAGTTCTTAACCATCGCGCCACTCGGCCGGCCCCACTCCCTGCATTTTCGTACAGCTCCTTGAGGCAGCTCTTACAGTGAGAAAATGGAACTTTAAAGATATTCACTAGCTCATTCGAGCTCACCTAGTCTCACCTACTTGGTTAGGATGGTAAAAGAGTTATCGAGTTACTTTTTGTTCAGGCATGGTTCTGAGAGCCACCCCAGAATGGGATCACTTTCCAACATAAGGGTGAAGAAAACTGAGAGAAACCATACCAGGCTGGGCAAGCTACATAAATATACTCGGTTCATCACTTTGAAGTTTAGCACAGATGAGCAAATAGCACTTATTGATCAGAGATGCATTAACTAGGCAACTCATTGCTAAACACCATCCTATAGGTTTGTGTTGACTTTGGGAGAACATAGGTCTGGGAGGAAGGCTGGACAGACAGTCAGCCGGGAGCTGCTGGTGACTAGAGGGTGAATGACTCCAGGGAGATGTAAAGAATAATAAGGGGACGCTCCCAGAAGGTTCTCTCAGGCGTGGGCCGGTAGAAGTCTGGGAGTCCAGCCAAATGAGATAATGCCTAGTGTGAAGGTCATTCTGATACCAGAGAAGTGAAGGTGGTGATGTAATCACAAGGGAGTGTGTTCTCAGCTCGGTTTTGGATGATTGGGGTCAGAAGGTGGTATGCGAGGATGGGGGTCTCGAGTTGGCTTGCAGTGAGTTGACATGTTTTAATCAGGATGATATTTTACAATAATGAGAAATTTGGAATGACTATGAAATGTATGGTTTTCGCTGACATTTTTGCTCTGTAGTCCTGTGCATAACATACATGTTAATGTTTCAGTTTTAGGATTTGAGAGAGAAGTGGGATCACAACCCAGATGTTGAATGCCACATTCAGGTTTTGCCCCGAGATAAAGGAAGTCGCAAGGACGTATCTAGAGCTGAACTTCAAATTGGAAGAATCTCAGTATTGTCCTGGAGGGTTAGCTGATTAAACCTCACAGGGGTGGAAGAGGTATTCCCACTCGCATGAGGCCAGGGATCAAGAAGCCATGATCTATTAAGTGGAAGCTCATATGGCCCAGAAGAGTGGAGGCTGCCTGAGTGAGGAAGCTTCTGGAGAAAGAGGACTAACCACAGGCATCAGGAGTCAACTTTCAGAAGGGCTCCTACCCCAGGAGAGACTTCGTGTGGGCACCGGGGGAGGATCACTGGTGGGGGTTCCTGGTGGTGCCCGCAGCTCATCCTCAGAGCTTGGGCTCCTCTGTCTGACAATAGGAGGGACCTGCTGGGGGAACACCAGTTCTTATCCACTCCCACAAGCCCTCTCTCTGAGGGGACTTGGTGACCACACACTCTGGGCCCCCATCCTTGCCAAACTCCTCCCAGAATCCACAGAGTTAGTAGATTCCACTGGCTTCAGGGCCCCATTGCAAATGTGGGGCATGCAGGCCAGTGCTCTCGGCCCTGTCTTCTTCCTCACCATTTAGGCCATGCTTGGCAATATATTTGTAGAGCTCTAGGAGGTGGCAGCCAGGCTGGTAGGCGCCTCCATTGGGGTAGAAGTCATAGTGTGCTATGGGTTGTTTGATGCCCACACTCAGGCCCATGTGCTCCCGGGTAAAGGTGTGAATGGAGTCCACAAAATTGGCGTCATCTGGTGAAAGACGGTCGCTGGGGGAAGTTCCTTCAAACAAAGGGCCTGCAGCATCTAGCCCTAGTAGGAAAGCAAGGGTAAAGTTTAGGCGGGAGCAAGGGAAGGGAGGAGAAATGCTCTTTTTAGCTTTCTGGTGTTATTACACATTCATGAGCTAGCAGAAAGAAGAAAATCTTAGGGCCTAATCTTTCTGCAGGAAATCTTGCCATAACCTTTTTGCAGTAAAACCACAGTAATTCATGTGCTGAAAATTGGACACAGGCTGGGCATTATCTATAGGAAAAAGAGATTTGCAGGAATTAGCCAGTGGTAGAAATAAGGTTATGAGTGAAAACTTGATAGATGTAAGCAAATCAATTTTAAGTACCTCTCGAACTACTTATAAGAGCATCTGTTTGCATACAAACAAACAAACAGAAAAACCCACTGTGTTTATTGTAAGTAGTTCTAACCTACCCATCAAAGAAAGAATTTATTTGCCTGCATGTCCTCAATAATTTCCCTAAACATGCTGGCTTTTCTCCTACACTAATGTCATTTTGTTGGAATGTCCTGAACAGCCTTGGGACATCACTGTTTTGTGGTGAAAATATTGTGAGCAAATAGGACTGCTCAAAGCTCTGGTCCTCAAGTGACAGATGTGTTTGCGTGAGACAAGTGGCAGCTCCTGGCTGATTGTAGTTGGGGAATATTTATGTACTCAAGGTTTTTCTTTCTCCCTTTACCTTCTCTGGAGGGCCATGTGATGTCCTACATCAGCCCTGGCTTTCATCCCTATTGGGGGCAAAGGAATTGACAGGGGGCCATGGGAGCACCTGTTCTCCAGCTCTCACCCATAGTTACAAGTGAAGGAAGTCCTGGTATGATTTATATTCCTTTTATCAGGCTGGCTGTAAGATGACAACAGAGTAATTAGCTATCTGGCTGCCTCTGATGTGTGTGGGCCTGGCTAATAATGCCGGATGTGACCCAAGACACCAGCCAGAGTGGAGAGGATCCTAGGCCTGATACCGCCTCTGTGATTCTGACTCAGCCTTCTAGCCCTGGTCCCTCAATGATGGATGGGCCTCATCGGCCTTCTGTGGAAGGTCTGCTCACACTCAGACTATTGAAGGTTAAATCGCAGGGGTGGGGACACAATTATGGTCTGTGAACCAGGCCTCCCCACTCACCAGCAAGATGAAAAATAAATAAATAAGGACAAGGAAATGAATTCTGATAATGACATATTTTTAAAGTTTAAATGTCTGCCATTATCATTATCTTTTTTCGTGTTAAAATACATCTCTTCTTTTATGAAGCAATGATAATAGTAGATAATAGTTGCCCAAAAGGTTCTTACTTGATATAATAAAAGGTCATAACAATGCTATTCTGTTAAATTTCCTTTGAATTGTTTTAGCCTGTGAAATACTGTTTTAGCCTGATGGGTTTTGAAGGATGAGTAGGAGTTTGGTAGATAGACTAGGGCTGGGTGGATGAGTGGCAATCAGATATGCCAGGCAAAGGGAACAGTACCTGCAAAGGCCCAGGAGCTCAGGAGGCCACAGAGTGTTTGTCAAGTGGAGAAAAATCTAGAGTGGCATGGAAACCTAGAACTATAGGAAAGGAACAGCAGGAAAAGAAGTTGAAGCGCTCTGGGGACACTGCCCTGCACAGGGCCTTGCCTGTGACATTGTAGGAGTCAGTGGGCCTTGGGGGCTTGGCTGGAGAGCCACCTGATCAGGTGTGTTCTTCCTAATGTAGCTCCAGGGCAGCATGGCGGGTGAGGCTGGCGTCAGGGACACTGGGGAGGAAACGCCTTGCCTGTCATCAGCTCTTCCTGGGAATCGAGGGCCATTTCCAAGTTGGTGTGAAGCTTTGGGTGAGGTTTTGGATGTAAAGCTCCCTCCTCTAACCCAGACAGGTCCCAGCGTATCACCCATGTGCTTCACAAATGTGGAAACTGAGGCACAAATAGTCAATTTAGGGCTGTGATTCTTTAACTCACTCACATTGGGCTTTTTACACTCTCGGTTGAAAAATAAACTCTTCCCTGCTACAAAAGTATATAGGAAGTTCACTTTTTTGGTTCTCTTTGGCCTGACTACGAGAGGCATTTGTCTGAGGACAGGCAATAGGGATGGAGGCTGTGATTTCTGCAGACTCTTGGAACAGCAGCCTGTGACAGTGCTCATGGCTGAAATAGCACGACACATCCTCCCTTGAACACCAGCACAGCGTGAAGGAAGCTGGGGCTGTGCTAATTATGAGACTGTTGGAAAAGCAGGCCCTGGCTCCACGTCCCCGCGCCGCTGTGGAGATTACAGTTATTAGTTATCGGGCATGGTTACCTGTAATTCTCCCAATCTTTTGCTTTCCGCCGATGAAACTGCCAGCAAATCCTGAGACGTGTGCACCCAGGCTGTACCCAATTAGATGAACATTGCTTCGAGAAAATTGAGCAGATTCCTGGAAGACAGCGGTAAGATGGTTGCAGGAGGACCAGAGCTGCCTGGATCAAAGCGTTTTGTGGGTTCAGCTTGTTCAGGCTCCCACCCTGCTCTTTGCTCCTGATCACACATGAGGTGCTTCATTCCTACTCCAGACCCAAACTGGTTTCTCACTTTGCAGACTCTGTCCTCTCTCCTTTCAGGCTTGGCCACCTGGGCCCCTGCCTGGTGATGCTGCCACCTGTCTGCCTGTGTTCACCTGAGCATGAAGGCCCTGCAGAAGCGATCCTGTTCATTTGTGTGGGGTTTGGTGGTTTACAGGGTGTGTTTAGATCCCTTAGCACGGGGGTGAGCATATAAAGGAACAGTGGATGGGGTGGGGGGAGGAGATGATTTCACAAAACAGGGGTGCAAGTGAGGCCGCTGAGAGAGCCCCGCGGCCTGGACTCCATCCCTGGTCTTCCCATTCCTGTGAACTCTGCAGAAGTGGTTCTCTTGTCTGGGCTTCTGTCAGAGACCAGGTGAAATCTGAGAGGACGGGAAAGGAAGGGAGGTCAGCAGGTCTTACCTCCAGCCACTGGAGAAGAGCTGCGACCTCCTGGCCCACGAGGCGGGTATTGCGGACAGCAATGGCATAGTGGTTTTGGGCCAGGGTGAGCCAGTCTGCCAGCCCCACATTCACTGGCTGGGCTAGCTGAGACTTCAGTGCATCCGCCATAGTCCAGATCCAGTCTTCCAACAAGCCATCCATCTGAGGGTAGAGCCGCAGAGTAGTCAGCTTCACCAGGAGGGGACAGAGGGGAGCATTGCACTAATTTCCTCTTTCTCCCTATTCACCTCTTTTTCTTCTCCAACTCTTGGCTAATGCTGAATCCTTCTTTCCAAGAGAAAGAGCTTAATAAGGGCTTCCCCAGCCTCAGCACTGGTGACATTTGGGACCAGGTATGTTTTTGTTGTGGGGGCTGTCCTGTGCATTGTAGGATGCTTAGCAGCATCTTTGGCCTTCATCCATGAGATGCTGGCAGCAACCCCCTACCAAGCTGTGAAAACCAAAAATGTTTCCTGATTTTGCCGAATGTCCCCTGGCTAGCTACACCCCCTAGCCCCCAACTGAGAATCATTGTCTTAACATTTCCCTGATGGACTTTCCAAGCCTCAAAATGGAAAAGTCTGTGTAAATCAGGTACTGAAAGCTGACCTCTCCTTTGAGGGTCAGCTCCCACACCCCCCTCCGGAAGGCCTGCTCTGCCACACCAGTAAATCCGACCACCTTCCCTCTCCTCTCAGCCACCTACTGCATTCCTTCTCCTCTTGCTCACTGCATTCCGCTTGCTTTAGAGGGACAAGTACCATGAGCCAAAACATAGTAGGGGCTCCATAAATGTTTATTGGAAATTGTTCTACATATGCATCTTGTTTTTCAGGGCACTTTTGATGGATTCACAGAGCAAAGGCATTTGTGCTTACAGGAGAAATAGGAGTTCTTTTAGAAGAATAAGGCCAAGCCAGTGAATGTGATGGTGGTGGTGGTGGAGTTTAGGGCATTCTAGGAAGAAGGCAGAGCACACACAGAGGCACAGAATCACCAAGGGACAGTGTGGCATGTCTGCAGAGAGGAGAAAAGTCAGGTGTGGTTGAAGACTAGACTGCAGAGGTGAAGCTGGAGAGGAACACTGATGGTGTGGCATATCACCTGGGATAAGATGCATTCATTTAATAAATGTTTACCTAGTGCCTTCTGTGTGGATGTAGCATCTTGGGTTCAAATCAAGACTCTCTCAGTTACTAGCTGAGTGACCTTGGGCAAGTTAACATTCCTGTGACCCAATTTCCTCATCTGGAAAACGGGGATAATAATAGTGCCCTCCTTTCAGGATTTTTGTGAAGACAAAATCAGTTAACAGATGTGAAGCACTTAGAACAGTGCCTGAAACATAATAAGCACTCAGCAAATGTTAGTTATTGCAGCTGCTGTTGTCTTATTATTATTACTGGTAGTAGTATACAAGTATGTATTCCAGTCTGGATAGGATTTTGAGAATAAAGAGCTCATTGTGGCAAAAGGACCCTGCTATCTTCATGTTGCATTTGTAAACAAGCTGTTCATTTAGTCATTAATTCAGTTAACAAATATTTTTGGAGCACCTAATATGTAATGAATACTGACTGTCCCACAGGAGAAGAGGGGAAAGGATACTCTAGGTAGACGGCACAGCCTGAGCCAAGGCCAAGAGGAGAGCAATCACGTGGTTCGCAGGAGTGGCAAGTACTTGGGTGTTGCTGGAGCTTAAAGTAGAGAGTAGGGAGAGGTGAGAGGGAGGCAGGGAGAGTGAGCGGGAGGCAGAGAGGGTAGGGGGGAGGCAGGGAGAGTGGGGGGGAGGCAGGGAGGGTGAGGATTAAATGGGCTGATGTATAATGTAAAGGGCCTGTTGCTGAAGAACAAGGGTTCTTGTATGGTCGCAGGAAGGAATTCCAGGATATACAGAATTTAGCCATGCAAACAAAGCCAAGCAAGCAGTTGATTTATTAAGAAAGAGGAAATAGTACGCTTCCAAAATATTGGGAGTGGGAAAGCTAGGAGTTGGGCAAATACCCCTAAGAATGAAGAGGCTTAGGATTTTATTTGAATAAAGCATGATATATTCAACTTTTAGGGGTGGCATCACAGGCGTTCCCAGGCAGGTCCCTACTGACTGCTCCTTCCCATTGGGAGGTGGGATTCCCTTGTTCTTACTCGGCCCTTGTCAGAACTGTCATGGGGACACAGGGGATGAAGATTTTTCCTGCAATGCTAATGTGTTATAATCCATTACAATTAGCTGTAGCTACACCTTTTCTTAAGAATGATCTGATCTCCTCTCTTTCCTTTGTCTCCCCTCACACCCTCTTTCCTTTCTTTCCTGTCTCTCCTCACAGCCCTGTGTCCTGTTCTTTCTGCCTACGTGATAGGCCTAGCTTGAGTGGGGTCTCAATCTATGTTAGGTCCCTTTTCTAGGGGCAGGAAAGCCTCCCACCAAGTTCACTGCCAACCCCACTTCCCTAGGGTGGGGCCCCTTTAAATTCTGGGGAGAAGTTGCTAGCAGGCTGCAGGAGCCTCTGTGCTTTCCGAGGATGGCAATAGTAGGCACCCCACTTCATGGCTACACCCATGTGGCATCATGTGGCTCCCCACTACCCCACAAGTCCAGGCATGGGGTCTGTTTTGTTCATGTGAGGCAATGAGCCTACACCTAGTAGGCTCTTGGAGAACACACATTGAAAGAGTGGTGTGTGGGTTGATGGGCCCATTTTGCTCTCTAGGGTAGAATAAATGGAGGTTTCAAGAGTGTTTCCAACTAGATGGCTGGGAAAGGTTTCCAAGTCATGAAATAGACCCCCCTGCCCCCAAATCTCTGGAGGTTTCAAGTTGTGAACTAAGCTTCAAATCGTGGGTGGGCTGGTAACCAGGGAGTCAGAATTTCCTCTTGGAGACAAGTCCTTACTTAGTTTGGCTTCAGTTATTGCCCACAGTGATCTCTCCCCTTCTTCCATAGTAATAGAATTTTTAGCATCACTAAAAGGCTACACTTTCTCTAAGAGACTACAGGTCTCAGCCACCTTTCCATCCAGGTGTGGCCCATGGATAGAATTGGAAGCATTTCACAGATACCTCTGGGAAGCTAACCCAAAAAACATTCTTTCATACCAAAAGCCATTGAATTGTACACTTTAAATAGATGAATTGTATGGTAGGTGAATTATATCTCAATAAAGCTGTTTTTTAAAAATGTTGCTCTTTGACTCCTTTGTGTACACCCTGGAATAAAGATGTGATGGCTAGCGCTCTAGCTGCCACCTTGGATATGAGGATGAGGGCCACATCTAAGGATGGCAGCGTAGTGAGCTGGGAGTGAGCTGGGTCCTTCGGGACTTCATTGGTTAAAGCCATTTGTTGTTTTGGACTACGTATCTCTTGACTATTGTGTAAAATGGAAACAAATTTCTGTCTCATTTGAGCCACTGCCAATTGGGTTTCTGCTATTTAACCAGCTGAGTTTAACCCTGACAGATCCAAACAGTTCATTGGGAAATTATGTCTTCTAAGATGTAGAAACATGCAGATTCACCAGCATAGACTGGAATTCCTATGGGCCCTCATGTGCTGTGTGACCGCTTTGAGTCACATTTTATTATCTGAAACGTGCAGATAATAATGGTATCTTCCCACCTTGCTTACTTATGGAATTGAGATAATCAATGAGATAATGTGTGGGGAAGCACGTGGAAAATTAGAATGTGCTTTACAAATATTATGCATGAAGTTGATATCTCCAGCTCTCTATCTTTTTAGTAAAATTGAACACACTAGGGAGGAGAAAAGCAAATGGAAAAGCAGAGAGAAAAACGGCATGTCAGCATTTCCTACCGACCACCCGTGGATTAACATCACCAACGGCAGAGAGGAGTTGAAGCCACACTCTTGTAACGTGTCTGGCTGATGGAGCTGAATCTGACAGCCCTTATCGGATTCCCTTTCAAAGAGAAGGAATTTGGTCTCCGTCTTTTGTAGCGTTTTCTTAGTTTCAACATCTCGAGATCTTCTTCGAAATGGCTCTGGAATATAAGATTGGGGATGGTGTTAACCAGGCATCTGTTCCATCTCTCCCAGCTCTGGGACACCCCAAAGGTTTCTAAGAGCACCAGCCAAGGGGATTCCTGTGAGGTGAAGGAGATAGTTATGAGCCGCAGCTTTGGGGAACCCACAAGAACATCTCCAGGAGAATGGCCATGTTTCTCTTGGAGAATGGAGGGTGACCTAGGAGGACCGAATACAAAGGTGGAGAGGACTAGTTCCTCCATCCTGCCATTCTGGTGATTGTAGGACCAGCCAGTCCGAAACTAGAGTAACTCTAGGACAGTAGGAATATGGGGGAGGCATATGGAACAGAGCATACAAGAGGATAAGAATTTCACCCAAAAATACAATGGAATAAAACATCTTAGTTAGATGACACTATGCATTGTCTCATGAAGCCTAATCTGTTCTCACTTGCAGACACATTATATCACATATCACATATGTTGCCTGCCTTGGACCAGTTAGGGTTGGGGTGGGAAGGGTCACCCAAGAAGTTGTTAATTCTGTTTGATGGGGGGCGGGTGGCTTTCAGGGAGGACTTTTCAGGGAAAGTAATGCTGATCCTGGCCTTGAAGGATGAACAGGACTTGTGTGTGTATATGTGGGTGGTGGGTGGCCAATGGGAGGGAGGAAGGCTTTCCAAGCTGAGGATACAGCTGAGTAAGTGCTCAGAGGCATAGGAGCTTGTGGGCTTAAGGAGGAAGGAGACCAGGCTGGGCAGCCAGAGGGTGGGGGTCCCTGGGATGCTGAGGAGTCATTATACTCTAGATGACAGGCTTCTTCCGAAGAGCTTTTTCAGCACAAAAGGATAAATAAATATCTATTTATTTCTGAATAAATATTCAGAATCTTTCAAAGGCTGTGTGAGGGTGGGGTAGGAAGAGAAAGATTGCTTTTAAAATTTCACCTTCTCATGTTAACCTTTCTTTGGGGAAAGCCTCACCCTGACCCTGAATCACTGTGGGGCTGGGGGTGGGCAGTCACCCAACTCTGCAGGGCAGCCCAATGGCTGTCAAGGCCACGGTGTTGGCCCAAGATACACACCTCTGCTCAGGGGCTGGGTGAAGCCTGAGGGGGTGCCATGTTCCCAGGTTGTGGTACCTCAAGATGGGTGACACCTTTTCTGCCAAGATTAGGAATCAGGCCAGTCACCCTCCCTTCCAGCAGAAGGTGGGCTCCCTCATGGCTGATGGGTGGACACAAGGCCATACAAGCATTTTTGGTCAGTGAACTAAATTCAGTCCAGTTACTCAGGACCCTGATCTTTTTTTCTGAGCATAAAGTCGTTCAGGCTTCTCAAATAATAAGTCTTGGGCTCTTGGTTTCAGGGGACAGCAGAATCGAGAGATGATGAACCTACAAAGTACAAGAGGAGGTATTAATGAAACCAATTTTCCTACCCAAAGGTTATTATTTCAAAAAGTTATTAATTCCCAGCAAAGGGCAATGATTTTTCACTATGATGACAGAATGAAACGCGTCATCTTTTATTAACAGGAGATGTGAGCAAGAATCTGAATAACTTCTTTGAGATAATGAAGATCCCTGCTGCAGTCTGGCTTTCCAGAGCTTCGGGACTGTCTGAGCTTGTCCTCAGCCCTGCCAGTGTGCTGCCAGTCCATGCTCTCCATTTCATGCCGTGCACTGCCCGCCTGGTGTCTAAGTCAGAAGCTGGGGTGTCACCTTGCACTCCTGTACCTGCCTCCCCATCGGTCCAAAGCTGCTGGTTCTCAAATACTCCTAGACCCCAGAGTACACTGTTGCTTGCTTGGCTTACTGCAACACCTCTGTTTTATCTCACCATCCTCCCTCACACTGCTGCTCAAAGAAGCTTTCTAGAACAGAAAGGACTATTAGATGCATTAGTGACTTTAAGTTTCTTAGTATTGCAGCCAAGGTCACCACCTGTATCCCCCGACTCCTCACCTATGTTCTCTTGCTACCCCAGATTGCCAATAATTCCCCCAAATGCCTTTGCACATCCCTGCACATTTGCTCTCTTGCTTCCTTCTTGGTCTCTGCTGCTCCTCAGTGAACTCTGGTCCACCCGTTAAAAGGGAACTCAGACATCACCCCCGCCAGGAAGCCTTCTGGTCTAGCCAGAGATAATTACTTCCTCTTGCTGCCAGCACTGTATTGGGTCCCTGATCCTAATGTCCTTGCCATGTGGCCTGGTAATTTATTTGTTTAATGTGTGGTGTTACCTCCACCAGGCTGTGAACTCACAGAGAGCAGTGCTAGAAGGTGCTCAATTAAAGCTTAGTGATCGATGTGGTATGCGAAGGGCCCACATGTGCTTGATGTTGTCCCAGAGGTCTCTTAAACTATTCTCATTTTTTTTAAAATCTTTAATTCTTTTTGCTGTTCCAATGGGGCGTTTTCTGCTACCTTGTCTTCCAAATTGCTGATTCTATCCCCTGCTTCATCTAGTCTGCTGGTGATGCCTTCTAGTGCATTCTTCACTTCAGTTATTGTAGTCTTCATTTCTGACTGGTTCTTTGTTATGGTTTCTATGTCATTTTTATGTTTGCTATCCCTTTGTTGAAGTTTTCACTAAGTTCCTTGGGAATCCTTATAACCATTGTTTTGAACTCTGTCTCTGGTAGGTTGCTTGCCTCCATTTCATTTAGTTCTTTTTCTGGAATTTTCTCCCATTCTTTCATTTGGGATGTATTTCTTTGTTTCCTCATTTTGGCTGCCTGTTTCTATGTATCAGGTAGATCTGCTATGTCTCTCAGTCTTGGCCACGTGGTCTTATATAGTAAGTGCCCTCTGGGGCCCAGTGGCACAGCCTCACTGGTCACCTGCTCCAGGTGCTCCAGGAGTGTCCCTTGCGTAGGTTGTGTGTGCTCTCCTGTTATAGTTGGGTCTTTGTTGCTATTGGCACATCAGTGTGTGGAATTGACCTTCAAGCTGATTGGCTGTGGGGTTTGGCCATGTCCATAGCTTACAGGCTGTTGTGTGGGGGGCTTACCCCACTGAGTGGGATTTACCCCAGCAGGCTCTGGTGCCTGTTGAGACTGCTCTTTGGGTGTGTTGCTTGTGGAGCTAATTGAGTGGTGCTCTGCTGTGGTCTGAAGCCAACCTCCAAGTATGTTGGTTCTGGGGCTTCTTGGGAGGGGCTTCAGTGCAGGCCCAGGTCACCCACTGCCTGTGACCAGCCAGGGACTCCTGGTAAGAGCTAGAAAGTGATCCGTGGTTCTTTGCTGCCTGTGCTAACCCTGGAGGAGTGTGGGAGAGGCCACATTGTGAACCGAAGACATCTGCCACCAGCACCAGGCCTGGGGGAGCTCCACAAAAAGCCAGGACACCCTGAGTCCTGCTGGCACCTGCAGGCTCCCTTAAGGTTCAGCCACTGATAAAACTCATGCAGTATGCAAGTTGGGTGAGGCAGGGTCTCAGGGAGTCACCAGAGTGGAAAGAATTGTGGTCACCAGATTAATGTAAATTTTGGTTTGGTGACAGTGCTAAGCCTGAAGCTATTCAACAAAAGTCTCAGAGCATACTGAGGCCAGTTGCCACCTGCCTGGGGTCTGTCGGACTCTGATAGTTTTCCAAGAAATAGTGCAATGTGGGTGGGGCTGGCTGCTCTTGGAAAAAGTGCCTCCAGCATTGAGGATGTTGGGTGGGGTTGGGTCCCAGTGAGTCAGCAGAGCAGCGCTTCAGTGATCACCAGACCAATCAGATTCAGATTTGGCTGTAAGCGTAGGGGGCGGGCTAAACACATTAAAGATGGCGGCTGCATGCTGGCTGCACAGGACCTCTTACACGGGAATTGCTGGTTTTCCTCCAGCCCTCATCTGGAAGCCATAGAAATCAGTCTTCCCCCAATATGCCTCTGACACTCCCTGTGTTGCTGTCCCTCCGCCGGAGCCCAAGGTGAGTGCCTGGGAGTGAGAGAGTCTGCGTGGGCCATTTAAGAGGACGCTTGGCTTTTCTGCTGCCTTCCATCCCACCTGGATGGTTGGAATCCCCCTTAGTTTTCACAGCCAGATGTGTGGGGGCTCCTCTTCCCGGCACCAGTACTCTGGGCTGGGGAGGCTGGTGTGGGGCTGGGGTCTCTCACTCCTCTGGGAGGAACCTCCGTGGCTGAGACGTCCTTCCTGGTTGTCAACCGCCATACAGAGTTTTTGGAGTTAGGCAGTTCTGTATCTCCACCCCTCCTACCAGTCTTGTCGTAGTTTCTTCTTTATATCCTTAGTTATAAAACTTCTGTTCAGCCAGACTTCAGATGGTTCTGCAGGTGGATTGTTCTATAATTTAGTTGTAATTTTAATTTGTTCACAAAAGGAAGCAGGTACAGTGTATATCTACTCCACCCTCTTGGATCCCAGCATCTTGCATTTTTTGATTTGTGAAGTCCTTTCTGTGAAATTTTATCCCAGTTGCCCTCACAAGACCAATTCTGCCTTATGCATATTAACTTTGGATTCAGCTGGGAGAATTAGCTGGGGCCTCAGTGCCTAGGGCCTCAAGGCTGTTCAGGAGAGTCTTACAAAAAACCAGTTATCAGATGGAAAGACCCATGAACAACTGTGTTCTTCCTTTTCTTCCTGGGGGTGTGGCTTTCTTTCAGCATATATATGAGTGAGGAAGTCGTGTATATAAATTCATTTATTCATTCATTTCCTTAACAATAACTTATTAAGCATGCATTATTATATTATGCCCTGGGCCCTGGCTAGGCATAGTTGGAGGCAAATAGGACCTGGCCTGTTTTTCAGGAGTCCCCAGTCCAGTGGGAGAGGCATGCATAAAAACTAGCCACTGCATGTGGTTTCTGTAAGTAGAAGGATGCCCTGAGTAGGGGCTCTATAGAAGATACCAAGAGAAAATGAGGAATCAGTTGAGTCTAGAAGGATGAAAGATTCTTTAGGAGCTCATATCCAAGAGAAATTGTTGAAGAAAGTGGGGCTCTGGTGCTTAAAAAAAAAAAAAAGATTTCATGGAGGAACTTAATGTTGAAGGGCTGTTG